GTAGTTGATTACGTCATGTCAACCCAGCGCGCCTGTGGCGCTTAAACCATGCCTTGCGTGATGCGCAGAACGTGTGCGCACTAACAAAGTAGGCAGCGTCCTTAAGTGGAAGTCCCATATTTTTGCACTTCAAATTGGATCTTTCCAGGGTTGCTTGTTTCCAGACTGCTGGTCAAGCAGAATGAAGACTCTGGTTGTCTTAGTACAAGCTGTACTCAGAGGACAAGCTAAAATATCCAAATACTCAACAAATTCTAAATTTCAAGTTCGGACAAACTGCAGCTGTGTTTTATAATGCTCTCATTGTGGTTTCATTTAATGAATATGATTTTAACAATATCTAATAATAAGTGTAATAAATATTATTTCCATTAGCATTTCTGGGCTTAACATCACACCAACTGAAGATATCTTACAAGTGAATATATGAAAGATCTTATATATGAAGATGACTTGTTGTCAACATATTGTCTCCAAAATAATCTATTGTTCTGAGTACTCATCGTTGAATCTCATATCTCCAAAAAATATTTTTGTGGTGGGGGACTGAGCGGGGAGGGGGGAGGGAGGAGGAGGAAAGGTTGGTGTAAACATGAATTTATTGTTTAACATTTTCTTTGGAATGGTTGAGTTATATTTAGCTTATTAGGTTATTTGGGTGTGGAAAGATAAAGAGTATTTTTACCCTTTCACAGCAATTTGTGGTCATAGAAATGAAAGCACTTGATAATACCTTTGGTGGAGGGGGGGGGGGGATTTACTCCTATACAAGTTATATGGGTATGTGCTGCTATGAAGGGTATGAAGGGTACGGTTTACACACAGTTTAGTCTGGAATAGGAAATAGAAGAAATTAGACAGTTTTAGTCTAGTTAAGAGTATAATTTACTGGAAAAGTGGCCAGTGTATAAATAATTTAGCCTAGAACAGGGTTCTTTATCAAGGGTTCTATAATAGAAATTGAAACTCCAAAGTGACTTTATAAGATATTGGTTTAGTTAGCAATATGAAAGGGTGGAGGATGCTTGTCGGAAAATTTGAAATAAACTCCTAAAGGAGACTAATCTGGTCATGACTCGAGCTGTATTTGACCCCTAAAAAATAGTACCACATTTAAAATGGAATTGCCTGTGCTAGTAGACTGGTCTCGAGAGACTGACAAAAATCAAACCTAAAAACGGAAGTATAAAGAGATACTTTGACAGCTGAAAATTGTGGTGTTTCATCATTAACACCCTAAATGAGACTAATATCCTTGATTTATACCCTAAGCGAGAAAAGAGATACAAGGTTATTATGGGACACAAGATGGTGATGAACATCCCTGACCTTATCAAATGGGAGTCGCAGTCAAAACAATGAAAAGGAGGCCAATAAAATTGCAATGAATGACATGACTATTGTTGAAATTTAAGCACTGATGAGGAAACTTCCAAAACTGTGATATGAAAAAGTTTAAAATCTGAATGGAGGACATGGATGACTCCCCTAACAGGGTCTCAAGGGATTGTGAGCTGGATTTTTAAACTTTTAATTAATATTCTACAAGCTCAACGCAACCTTTGACATCTATGAGATCCCAAATCTTGTCTGCCATGGGCTTTTCTTCCAATTCAAACCAGCTGTATTTTCCCTGTAAAATTCCTTCCTCTACCGCCTCAAAAACCTCTACTAGAAACGTCAGGCACAATCCATCTGCCACCCCATGAGGCTTTCCAGTGTGTTCGATATTAATATAGCCATGTGTTCTGTACTGTATATGACTGTCAAAATCTCTGACTAATCCTTCAATGACACCACTGACATTGGAGCCATACATGCAAAAATTCGCAACCTTGTGCAGAAAACAGGGATGTGAATTATTGTCAGTGGCAGTCTTGTGAAGTAAAAGGCAGAACAGTGATCTTTTATTATCTCTCTCCACTCTTTTAACAACCAACAGCCTGACAGAAATACAACTATGGGACTTCTTTGCAGGCATTAATCTGCAGATAGGGTTGTCTTCCTTTGTTTCATACCATTTCAGCCCAGCATTGATCAAAGGACAAATATCTCTCGCTCGAAGTAGGAGAGAGATAAATACTTCTTGAGTTGTAAACCATCCTGCTTCCATGGACTCCTTATCTTGTTCTTTCAGGCTCTTAAGCTTTCCGCCTGTAATTAATCCAACGAAAGTGAAACGAAACCAAGATGTCCCTTGGGAATCCACACAAATAATGGAGATGGGTTGGAAAGCAAGCCCCGTTTCCTCTAACACTTCTCTCACAACACCCTCTTCGAGGGACTCGTTTTTCTCGACTCTACCCGCTGGCAAATACCATGTTCCTCTGCAGGATTTCTTGGCTTCTCTCATCATCAAAACCCGACCTTCTTTAAGAACAACGGCACTTACTATGTAGCAAACTGTGTGCCCAAGGACAGCTGTGCTCGATCTCTGAGCTTCAGGTGATGCACGTGTTGCGTCTTTTTCGTCGCAAAAAGACCCAGTTGGCTCCGATTGTCCTCCAGATTTGCTCCAAATTGCATTTTCGACATCTCCTACCAGCTTATCCATAGTTCCGCATTTACAGGCCCTTTGCAGCTAAGCCATCACGTGACCTAATTTTCATAAAATTATGGGCTATAACTTAACGAATGCCAGAAATGGAAAAAGCATGTCGAAAATATCAAAATGGCCAAGTTTGAGGCCCCAATCATCAGAGAATGAGATTTTATGACGGTCTGAATTTTTGAAAGAATAGGAAGGTTTGTATGGAAAAAGTTGTTGGAGAGCAAGATCTTGCTCTCCAGAAACATTTTCCATACAAATCCTCTAAATTTTCCGAAAATTCAAACTGTGGTATAAACTTACTTGTTAATTCCTGGGGTCTCAAACTTGGCCATTTTGGTATTTTTGATGTGCTCTTTCCATTTCTGGCATTCTTTAAGTTATAGCCCATAATACAAAAAATTTTTAGGAAAAATTTGGTCACGTGACCCCAGCTGCAAAGGGCCTATTGCCAAGGAGACCGGTAAGCGAAAACGTGAGCCTGTCAAGGCGGCAGGATATTGAGTCGTGCGTAGTTTGATGGCTATGCAGAAAAAGTCTCAGATCTTTCAGCTCGATTTTCCTGTAATCCGGTTCCGTCAGTGATATTTTTTTGACCATATTAGGATGTAGCCGAATGTTGTCAGTATATCGCATGAACCAATCAGAACACTATTTTCTTTGCGACGTCACGAGGTTTCCAATATTTGTTCAGCTCTCCAGGGTGCAGAACCTCGTTGGGCGATTAGTTTGGTAAGTAATTTGCCTAACATTCTGCTTTTTGAGGCATATACATCTTGGATTTGTTGTGATTGAATCATACCATTGTTAAAGCTTAACAAGACCCGAGTTGTTTTCTGGAGTGAATTCGAGTGTTGTTTATTTGATTCACAGTAACGTTCAGGATTTGTTCACCATCTGTTCGCCAAATTATTTATCCATATTGGGATCAACAGCTGTGAAATGTACAGTTCCAGAAAATACCTACACTCCCCTCTGCCAACAGAAGGGATTAGAATTTCTTAGGGGTGGGGGATCTGTTAGGCTCAAGTACCAGTCACTGTGTGAGGAAAGGAACGTAGACCAGACTCGAGAGAGCACCGGAAATCGAGGCCAAAGGCCAAAATATTTAAAGAAATGTATGACACTTTACTGGAATTTTCAGGGGGAATCTTGGAAAAACTCCCTTCTGCAGGGGAGGTATGGATATTTTCTGGAACTACACAGTGCTGCTGATGTTATCTTATCAACATGAGGTAAATAACTACTCTTAAAAATGTTGTCAATTTATAGTAATGTTTATTTCCACCACTGATTACACCTTCTGATCCTACAAAAGGAATTACAGGTTAATGGGATCAAGTGAAAAATGCAATCCTGGAGAGGTTAACACTGTTCCATTGTATGAGATTTTATTTTCTTAGCAGTCCTAAATGTATTCTACTAAACTCTACTTAAGGTGGCTCAAAACAGTTTTCTGTTTTTTTTTGTTTTTTGTTGTGAGACTCATAGAACTAGGTGTGATTTTTCAGGCTTGGAACTGTACTGTTTTGAATGGCTGTGCTATTTATTGCGGGTAACTCTCCACTGTACTTTTCATTGTGATTAAGTAATGAATTAAGGTTGCACTGTTCTGTTGCATAGCAACAAACTTGACCCACTTTTTACCATCAATTGCATCTATCTTAAAAACTAAGTTGGTAACCTCATATTTTTTTCTAAAAATCTTTTTATTACCCACAGAAGAAGAAACATGGAAAATTTCAAAAATCTATGTGGCATAGATTTTGCTTAAGGTGGCTCCATAGGGTAATCATTTATGGCGTTGCGTGCGCAAGTGTTATGTTTTGAATGTCGTTTTTGCATTCGTATTTACACCCAGTCCCCTCAAACTAACTACATGTAATAAGCAATGATTAAATAGTGTTTTACTATCATCTCTGTTAAAATTATTGGTTTTAGTCTTCGATTAGAAATGCCCAAAACATTATGTTTTTTACTTTTTTATGGCTTTACTTGCAATTTTCTTGAATTTCCTTCGGTGAAATCTTCCAAAATTTTCACAGCATATTGCTTCCTGCGGGACACAAATTTTAAACACGAAAAAAGTAGGGTTTGTAAAGCCAGGTTTTTCGATTTTTATAAATTTACATCTTTTACCGCTGCAAAAAAACTGGTCTTATAGATTTCCCTCAAAAACGAGCTCCGACTAAAGTAAAATATTTACTACAAATCTGCCAAGTTTTACGGAATTTCACTGAAGGAAACGCGAGAAAATTCACTGTCAGTTTTGCTTGTTGCGCTCATGTTGATGTAATAAAATATCGAAAAACACTGATGTTTTACTTCGAGCACACGCAGATTACTTGAGCTTTTGTCCTCAGCGTGCGTGCAATCGTAAAACTATAGGGGGCCACCTTAAATTAGAAAAACTGAAAATGTCTAAGTTGGAGGAATTCAACTCCAGACTTTTTTTTTTACAATTTCAAACATGCATTCTTCTTTTGGTGTTGAATAATTTTGTTACATTAAAAAAGTAGTGTCACCAGATCAGTTTTTGAGATATTAGCTTTGTGGATAAGGAATTTTTCTCGTATGTACTACGTGCAAATTAAAATCTCGACTTGCAAGATTGCCCCTTGTGCATGTATGAATATGGTCCGCTGATCAGTAAAGCCCACAATTCCACAAGAATAGTGTTTTCTGTTTTGCTGTTGTCACTAATAGCATAAGCAGTGGAAGAGGAGTACCATAAACACTCAAAGGTGAGACTGGCCAAGTAGAAAGAACAAGATTGATAGCCGGTGTGATCGATCGCATCATCAACATCTCAATTTTCATTCATGTTCTAGTACAGCGGTTAAAAAGAATGATTTTCCTTTGAAATTGCCTGAAGGATGGATGTTTTTGAAGATAAAAATAACAGCTATTTTTGTGTTATCAGTTACTGACAACACATAAAGCTTACTAAACTTGGCAGAAAGAAAGTTTTACGAAGTAGACTTCACACCGCCGTGTTTGTTTTCATTTTTGTAAACTTTAAATCTTGCGTGCTATCTCGCGACCTTTTGGGTGATCGTGTGATGCCTCGCGCTGAAGTGTGCACTACAGCCCAGGTGTCTCACAGAACCATTACTGTTTTGGACCACCTTAAATCAAGACTAAGAATCTAACGTTTCTACACAAATGACACATCAAACTTTTGAGACACCCAGAGGGTCTGAGTTTTTTGGGTCTGTGGTCGGAGTTTTCAAAGTCTGATTTTCGACACATCCCTTTGTGTCTTACTTTCCAAGCAGTTCTTGAAAATCACCGGAGAAAAGAAAACTTTACTTGTGCTGATGCCTACTCCAAAGAGGTCTTGAGATGCAAAAGGTGAATTTGTCCACCATAACTAGTTCTTGCTCAGGAGAACTAGATTGTTCTCAGCTGCTAAAATCAACTTTTAGTTATGTCCACTTCTTGACACAGCTTGAAATACTTAGAGAGCCTTTTTTACTTTTATGGCACACTGGATTGGCACCCTGGAATGAGTGGGCCCAATTTATCCATGGACCAACAACTCATGATATTGGATGTTCATGGGTTGCAAACCTATGATTCTATGATGCACTGACTAGAAAGCATAGGTTTTCCTGGAAGTTAGAGCAGGTGAATAAACAGGTTCCATCCAGTGTTGCACAAGGAAAACAAAGGCAACAGCAGCAAATATGCAGATAAACACAAACAAAACTGTCTTGGGAATGATCAGTCCATCAACTTCGATCTATAGGAAAATGAACAAAATAAATTTCTTTAGTAAGATGAAACAAAACCAAATGCATTTAAACCAGATGTAGTCAATCAATAAAAATCAATATCGGAAATCAATCGATTCAATCGATATCAATTGCCAGTTGCTATCAATTATGCTCCCTCATCATAGGTCTGCAGTGCTTGCAGAGAGCCTTATGGTCCCTCATCATAGGCCTGCAATGCGTGCAGAGAGCTTTATAATATATGCTCCCTCATCATAGGTCTGCAGTGCGTGCAGAGAGCCTTATGGTCCCTCATCATAGGCCTGCAATGCGTGCAGAGAGCTTTATTGAAGGGGTGAGTGTAAAACCATGCTAAGTGACAATTTGGGTGAAAAAAAATTTTCGC